GAATGTCTTCTTTGCTGATCGACCAATTAGACGGATTTGCTGCAAAGAGTTTATGACATTTCGATATCGCATTTGTTCTTCTATAGATCGCCATGGATATTTTCATGAGGCCTTTTTTTATTGCGTTTTAGAATTGAAGTAATTACTCGATAATTCTATTGCGTTTTTATCGCATGATAAGTAATATTGTTTAAGTGATCAGTTTATTATCATTCAAAGAAAGAGATATGATTTATAAATGTAACAAATGTGGAAATACACCATATTTAAGATAGACCTTAAACCATTTTTTCCGCACTAAATTACTTGAAAAATTGATGAACGAATGCGAAATGGTAAATAAACGACTAAAAGCAAATGCATTAAAAATAGAGTTATTTTTTTCATCGTATCGGACAAAATGACAAATTGCTTACCTTTTATAGCGCCAGATATGATGACAATAATGACCGTGGCCAAGTTAACCGTCGTGAGAATATTGTTTAAAATGGTCGATTCTTTGACGCCAAATCCAAGTAAAATGGTGAGCAGCACAACCATAATAAATGAAAAGAAATCTGGATATGGTGCCAAGAAGCTCACATTCATCGGAAATAAATCTTGAAAGAATGTTGACATCTTCTTGTCAATCAATGCATCAAGATAGACACTCAGACCACGGGCAACGCTTGACGCAGCTAAAATTTATTGAAAATGGCATTTGAAAAAAGTAACAACGATAGAAAAAAAAAAACAGAAAATTCAACTAAATTTATCGAAAAAGTCTTTTTAAAACAAAAGATTCCTATCCAGAATCTTCTCTAAATTGCTTCTAAACGAAAATGTGTATACAAAAAATGCCTCTTACCAATGATATATTCGAGAATTAAGTTCCACCCAATTGTGAATGCCAAAAATTCACCGGCGGTTATATAAGTGTAAATGTATGCCGAACCAGCTCGTGGTACGCGTGAAGCAAACTCTGCATAACAAATAGCCGAAATACCGGCTGCAATGGCAGCAATTAAAAATGAAATTGTTACGGCTGGTCCAGCTTCATTATAAGCAACTGAACCAGCCAAAACGTATGCGCCCAAACCCAATGTACTGCCAACACCGAGCGCCGTCAAATCAAACAAAGTCAACACTCTGGCCAACTGTGTTTCACCAACGTTATTGTAGTCCACATATTTACGTTGTTTCAAACATGCAAACGTTGTTTGCCACCATTTTTTCATCATTTTTTCCTCCGATTCTTATTCTATTTTGCTACATGAAAAAAATTAATTTTGTCATTTTTGGGTTTTTTACAAAACATCTTTTAAACACTACAGCTTAAATCGATTATTATTCATTTTCAACCGAAAATTGTATATGAAAAATCTATTAAAATATATTTTTAAAAAAGCTATGCAATAATTACCGTTTGAAAATTGTGTTCGACGTGAATGCCATGTGTATGTGGAGTGATAGAAAATGGAAGGAGCGAAACGGAATGAAGCACATGTGCTTAACGTCGTTGCACCAACGAAAGTGTCGAAAATGAGCCGAGTTTGATTTAAACGATAAGTTTGAACCATTTAAATGATAAGTTTGCTCTTATCGTCATTATTACAAGTGAACCAATAGATAATGTGTCTCAATCTCTCAATTAAACAACAGTCGCTTTTGCAATGCGATTTATTCTTCTTTTTTTATACACAATTCGTGGAAAAGAAAGAAGGAGCAGTCGAAAAAAAACATAAACACTTGTTTTGAGAGACAAATACCGATTCACTTTATGGCCTTGGGCTTGACACTTGGGCAGCAACGTACCGTGGAAAATAATTCAGATACGCGATATATAATTCTACATTCTAAAGATCCGAGCCCCTAGGTCAGAACCTATGATTGTGAAAATTTATTCATAATAAGGAAAAATATCGCGTCATGACTTTTCGCATATCCTGACTAAACCATGAGGAACCTTGGATTATGAAATTTTTTTTAATTTTATATGGCCAAAAATCAACCAAGTACCAGTACTCCCAGCCCTGGGAAAAATTAATGCACTGGAGGGTTAACACTTGAACCCGTGAGCATAAAAACGACTTATTAAACAATCGCCGAACAAAACGATACAAGAAAAAACTACCAAACAAAACACACGTTAAAAACGTAACACAGCAGGACGGTACCGTTCAAAACGAAACTCCGCTGTGCTACACATTACCGCTGTGGTACGTTTTGTTCGGTAGTTTTTTCTTGTATCGTTTTGTTCGGCGATTGTTCAATAAGTCGTTTTTATGCTCACGGGTTCACTTATACTTGATGAATTCGAGCAAACCAGATCGCATTTCAATTGATTAACCAGTGGCGAATTTCAGTGAGCATTACACACAGAAATAAAATGTGGTAGGTTTGTGGTATCTTTTGGTGACGAGTATAATTACCACAAGTCTCAGAAAAGTTACCCTACGCACCAAACTATTACTATGCACAGCACACATGCATTTTTTGGTTGGAAAATTCTCGGAAAAGCGCTACTGTGGGAAATCGTTTGGGAGGAAAATTTGATGTGAGGTACCGACCCGAAGGGTGATCTTCGATAAATGACAACTTTTTGCGTAGTTCTATTTGGGGCCCAGCATTGTTATAATAAAAGTAATAAACTATAGTGACTATGTGTCTTTTGCAAATGTTCTGACTTAGTAGCTATTATCAATTTGAAATATATTCGACTGACGAAAACCATGATCCAAGTTGAATAAATTTACGATCAAAAAAATTTCTACGACTGAATTAAGGTGAATGCCCAACTAAGAAATGAAATTTTTCTCCAAAAACTGTGACTGAATGCAACGTTAAAAACATCTACGTATTTTCAATATGTGTTGTGATTTGGTGTGATCACACACCTGCAACGGCAAATATAACGCTCATAGTATTCAGGTCGATGCCCCTTCAACGTTTTGGTTCCTATTTATATCGAAGTGAATTAATTGTCATACAAAAATACCACTCTGTTAACGACAGTTGTCTATTTGTAAATTTCACGTAACATACCAATGATATAACACAGTAAAGATATCTAGTTCGTTACCTAACGAGTTCCATAGATGTTTGCACATTGTCAGGCTTTCTATCTTAACAGTTAAACATGTCAGCACTGTCTATCTTTTTACAGCCCAAATCCATTGTTCTAGGCTGATACGTTCAGGTGATAAAAATGTTATATAAATGAGTTCTACGTGTGTGCAATAAAAAAAGATAAAAAAATGTGTTCACTTCCTATTTCTCTAGTATAAAAGAGGTTGCTTGGATTCGAATATCCAACAGATCTCCCGATCATTTCGAGGAGTTGTGAAGGAACAAATTATTATTTCAGCTCTTGTTTTTAATTTTGTTTAAAATTGCAAAAAAAAATGTGGGCAATCTTAGCCATTGTAGTCCATTTTTCAGTTTGAGAAGCAATGATTGATTTTTCGCGTATAAATGATTCGAAGTCAGTTTCTTTAACATAAAATAATAAAAAAGACCATTTAAACAGGTCAGAATCGTAGCCATTGCGTTAAAAACATTTTTTCCATCTTCCATTCTTTTAGGAACGGATCATTTTTGTGCCAATTGATAGGTTTATGTCCAAGTAATGTCGACAATTGTGCAACGCACCAACTATACAAAACGATCGTATGAATGTGTTTGTGTCGAATGCCGCCAAAATTACGCATACTCTTCCCTGTGTTGTCATCGAAATCACAGCTTCTCTCACAATTAGATAAACTGACATCGAAACGATTTGGTAGACTAGGTTATTTTGTGTCGTATTAAAAGTATTCTTTAGCGTAAAAATTCATTCACAATCAATGGACACATTAGCACCGAAACTATCGTTTCAGCAAATGAATTGTTTGTACCAAAACAAGGATGACACGGCTGATGCGTATTTCCAATTCGATGAGTCGGGCCAAGTGAAGCGGCTTTCGGCACACAAAATCATTTTGGCGGCGGGAAGCTCTGTTTTCAAAGCCATGTTCTACGGTGACCCGAAAGAAGAGGGTGACGTCGAAATCGTGGATGCAGCATCGACGGCGTTCGGAATGTTTCTACAAACCATCTATCAGATGCACGGAAACATCGACATGGAAAATGTGGGCGAAGTGATGCGTTTGGCCGACAAATACGAATGCAATGGTGTCATGCAAATCTGTGCAAGCTACCTCCATCCTCAGGTCAATGTAAATAATGTGTGTTGGGTGCTTGATTTTGCACTCAAGTACAGTTTTCAGAAACTAGAACAATGCTGCGCAATCATGGCTACGCTCCAACCAGTTGGCGTTTTACAATCGGATGCGTTCGCAGAAATGGATCACTCAGCACTTGTTCACGTACTTCAACTGGTCGAAAACCTGCTCAGCCAGAAAATCATCTTTGGCAGTTGCATCAAATGGGCCAAAAAATCATGCGAAAAACAGTTGATTGAAGCGACACCGGGAAATCTGCGTATAGAATTGGGTGGCAGTTTTTCGTCGATCGATTTCAAACAAATGAGCTTGGGCATATTCGTTGAAATTCAACGCTTGCATCCATTTTTCAGCTTCGAGGAGTACGTGAATATCTTCGAAGGCATTGCTAATGCGGAGAAGCAAAGAAATCAAAAAGAAGAAATTGACGACTTTGATTTTTCTCCAAGTGAATTCGAATAATCGGCTAAAAAAATGGCTGAGAATAAAGTAAAAACTCCACGAAAATATTGCTAAAACACAAATACATCATAAAACGGATAAGTAACCATCAATATGTCAGAACACCTCAAAATAAAGTTGAATTTAACACCAACGCGGTAGTAAATCAGAGACTGTGTTTTTCTTTTACTTTTTTATTTACAAGAAAATGAAAACTATTCGTGCAACTGTTCCGTCAACCTTTCCTTAAACTCGTCTAGCCTTGCGTGCTCTTGGTGGGTTATCTGATACTCGTGTGGCGTCTGTTATGGAGACAATGTTCAATCCCCCCATCTGTAAGCCTTTCACGGAGGAGGCTCTGCCTGGCCCTAGACCTCTCACAACAACTTTCACCGTATGAATACCTTTCTGGAGAGCCTCCTGAAATTCAGAATGAATTTTTGCTCAATCGAATATCATCACGCACAATATTTTCGTCAAAATTTACCTTGCTCAATGTAATGGCTGTTGCTTGTCCAGCAATATTGGTTCCCTTACGGCAGTTTTTGTATCCCTCCTTTCCGCATGTGTTGATGGCAAGCACTTTGCCTTTGTTATCAGTTACACTAACGATGGTGTTATTCTTGGAGACACGAATGTGACAAACGGGCAAATTCTTGAATGCTACATCACCAAACGTCCTATCTGGCAGTCCGATATCGGGGAATCGTTGAAACTGTTGGCTAAATTGATAAACCATTATCATTAAGAAAATTAATTTTGAGAATTTCCATGCAATACTTTTGGATGACACTATCGAGATCGACTGATGTTGCACCTTTTGTTCCGTCTTCTTTTTTAACAACAGTACGAAGCAACGCTGTTCGATCCTTCATTCGATTGATTTTTCCGGCTGCGATAGCAGATGTGTAGAAATTACTAGCACCCGATGTCACATTTTTTAAGCTTATTGGATTGATTTTGGAAAATAAACTCTCGCAAATCAATTTGAAAGACATTTTTGCTTATATTTCATTCTAACCTAAACGAAAGCAAAGTGAATATTTGACAAAACGACCGCTGACAGCTGTCAGCCGTATGATTGAATGGCATGAAGTTAGCTGTGATTTATTTAATCATAGAATGCCATTTGTTATTGTATTCAAAAATTAAAAACAAAATATTGAATTCATTGAATAAATTAAAAATTCTTTTTAGTTGCACTCAAATTTCGAGTAATTCTATTCGAAATTTCTTGTTATCTTTACCTCGACCAAATGTCTCAACTGGAACTGAACCAAGAAAAATCTCCTTCCAAAATGCATTCCTGAAATTATAAAAAAAATGATCAAAGCAAACACTGCTCTTTAATTTCCTTCAGATTTTTCATTGTTTTTTTTTTCTTCTCATATTTATTTGGTCTATCGAAATTTTGTTTGGCTTTTTTTTTACACTTCCTATCAGTATAATATTAATCATGAAAGAAGATGAATTATAAAAAATCTTTTACTAATATATAAATAAAATAGCTTCACAGAATGTACTATGTTCATCGCTTTACTGTACTATGTTTAGTGCTTTTTTGTCGACGTTTACTACTTGGTTTGTTTTGATTGATTGTTTCAACACAAAATGAATGGTTTTTACGTTAGAAACTGTGACATCTTTACATCTTTACATCTTTCATCTTCTTCCAAAATCAACGCGCATACTTCATTGATGGTTCGTTGGTCGCTTGAATGTCGATCAGTTTTTATTTCTGTTACAGCAAAACCAAAAGAGGCATACAAATCTACCACATTTAATATTTGGAGAAAATGAACTGTCGTTAATTTAATTTCGTCGTCAGGGAAAAAATATCAATATACAAAAGAAATCATTCAACATGATTGTACCGTGTGTAGAAAACATGAATCTTAAATTAATTGTGACGGAAAATCATCGGTTTGCTAAGAAAAAACTGATGCTATCCAGGAAAAATGTAGTAGTTGAATCAACAACATGTTGATTTTTCCGGTTCGGCAACCACTAAATTAAAATCGAGGCTGTTGGGCCGCCCGAACAATGCCGAGGGTTTGATTCCGTCCCAACCTTCTTCTATTTTGTATTCACCACTTTGTATCCGAGCATACACCTGGAAGTGGAAATAGGGGGAAATAGATTAAACTCAAACGTTTAGAAATTCAAACTTTCGGTAGTGCTTAAACTAACACCTTGGTAAGAATACATGGACAATTCATTCGAAATTTGAAAGAATATCAAGCACTAGACCAGTTGCTTTTCAATTAATTTTCTCTTCTCAAACGATTAAACCTAATTAAAACAATTGAAAACTAACCTCTTGCGTAACCATATTGAATACTTCTTCGACATTAACACCGGTTCGTGCTGACGTTTCAACGAAAAACAATCCGTTTTGTTCGGCAAATGCTTTTGCTTCGTCGCGACTGACCTCTCGACGAGCACCATCACTGACTAAATCTAATTTGCATCCAGTTAGCGCAAATACTGGCCGATGCGGTTCAATGTGTCGCTTTGCTTCCATCATCCACAATGGTATGTGCTCGAATGACGCATGATTTGTGATATCATATACCAGCAGAACGCCAACGGAGTTCCGGTAATAGGATTTTGTGATTGAACGGAAGCGCTCTTGACCAGCTAAAACAGACAACAAATGAAACGAATGATTACTGATTATTACAAATAATTTATTGTAAGTAAGCAGACAATTGTATTTCAATTACCTGTATCCCATAGTTGCAATTTAATGCGGGTTCCATCTTTGACTTCAATTATCCGGGCAAAAAAATCGACGCCTACTGTTGGATCGGAAAGCTAGAAGGGAAAAAAAACGCAATGACAAAGGTCAGCATATTGACAGAACTCAGACAATGTTATTTAACGAAGTAAATAATAATCGGTAGGTGCTTGACATTTTTTCGGTTGGTCGACTGATAACGAAAATGGTTCGTTGAGGAAGTAAAGTGAATTGTATATAATCTCGAATCAGCTGCAGTAGCACGTCACATTTGATGTTTTTTTTGAAGGTTTTCCGCTCGAAATGCTCGGCATTCCATGCATAGCGGAGTGATTACGCTGAACATGAGAGTAAATGTCATGTTTGCTTTCTCTGAGCTCATACATTCGTTTTATCAGTGCTTTTCTGACGACGCCGTCGTGATAATGCATTATAATTTTAGACTGAAGCAGCAGCAGTCGCAGCAACAGTAGTGTTGTCATCGAGAACGGATATCTCACTTGATGATATGAGTCATAGTAAACATACACATAATCAAGTTGAAAACGTCAATGGTAAGACAGCCATGATATACACATCTTCTGACCGAGCAAATAAACAACGGTTGATGCAGGCCGACGCATATTGCGTTGTTTTGATGGCAAATCTAAATACGGCTACTGAACGTTGCATCGTCAATAAATGTCGTGATAAGTCTGTGTCTAAATTTACACTGACTCCAACATTTTGTTTTGTTTTTGTTCCAATGAACAATAGAGTTCTTTTTTGTCTATTTGAAGTGCGCGCGCGCGCGCTATGGAAACGCCGTTGTCGTCGAGCTAATTCAAATGGCATACATAATTTCATTATCAGCGTTGAAGTTTGACGAAAAATACGAAAAAAATATAGCGAAACATTTCAGCGCGTGCATAACACTTTTGTGATAGGGTTGGATTTAATCCTGTTTTCCAATTTGATGTCGTTTTAAACAACAAAGGGCCGACAGACGAATAGCGATGAACATATGAAATCGTCGTAAATGATTAGTAGTGGGACCAACTATTTTTGTCGACTAATTCATTAAAACGAAAATTGAATGGGCAAAACTGCCTGTTTGTTTACTCATTTCCATTGAATCGATAACTGCATTGAATCAGACATTCGATAAGCCCACAACAAACGTTTTGTTTGTTCCGTTTCATGCTGATTATTTTCTTTTTGCATTCTGTTTGGGCGTCATTCAAAATAATGAAGAATAAAAACCAATTCCATGAATTACCTCCGCAAATCGACCATCTGTGAAATACTTGAGCAATGAGCTCTTTCCCACCGTACTGTCTCCGATCAATATTAATCGAAACTGATAATCAAATATTGGCTCAACCATTTTTTTTCTTTCGTTGTTTTTCCTATGGAATTTTGTGTTTTTCTTTCCAATTGAATTCGAATCACTTCACTCGGATTTCCCTTGAAATTATTGTGTGTATTTTGATTTTGGTAAACTTTGTACAATGCGTTTTTTTGTCGCTGGTTCTATGCAAATTTCACTTTTTACACATTGGATATACGTTTATTTGGCTGCTTCCAATGTTATTCCATCAAACGTTGAATTTGTTACATTTGCCGTTGATGCATGATTTCGCACAAAATTTACTGTTAATCGCATTTGCACACAATACAACATGCACAATCCACCAAATTAGCTGCTAGAGAGAGAAAATATTTTTTCTGACTATGTTTCAATGATTTTTCGACGTACTAAAATTCAATGAGTGCCTATTTGACTTTTATCGTTCGCAATATTTTCACAAACAACCACAAGCACGTACGCACACACACACACACACACATACCAACCGCCCGTAATGTAGTCAGATGTTTGTTTGTTGTTTTACTATTGTGCCTGTTCCCACTTGAGGCACATGTGAGCAGCGAATGGGTAGTGAAAGAGAGCACACGATGTGCACAGATAATGTTGAAAAAGTCAAAATAAAGACAGAGTGCGCGTTTGCACTGGCAGCAACTGTCAAATCGGTCGCGTTTACAACATCGCAATACAATTACAATATCGTGCTATTTGTCTCGTTTTTGCACGTTTTTTGTTCCAGAAATTTCATTTGTTTTGCTATGCGAATTCGGTTTGCCTTACATTTCTGTGCATTTTCGTGTTCGGTGCAGTGAAGGCATGAAATTTCACTGTCTGTTCATTTGAATTGAATCTCTCAATTAAATCCTTATCTTTGTTTAAAAACAACAATTTTGTGGTTCGTGAACATACTTCAAGTCGACATTTGCTGTGTTGAAAATATCAAGAACAATTTTCTGCGTGTTTTATTTATTGTGTAAGACCATTAACAGCAACAATTAGCATCATGTCATTTTTCAAGTTGGACTTTTCATTTGATGTTTATTTCATCGTCAGGTTGTTGTGAACAATTCGCACATTGGACAAATGGCTGGAATGGACAATTTGAAAAAAACCGCCCAAAAGGGACTTCTGGGTGGCGTGATTTGCGGAGCAACAGCATTTGTCGGTGCTTTAGTTGGTGGCCCAATTGGACTTGGAATAGGAAGTGCAGTTGGCGGTGCAATATCTGCTCATTTATTGAGTAAATACCATTACGAAATTTGAAACGAATTCAACGTTGAATTAATTTTGAATTGATTTTCTTTCACAGGATTCCGTTCGGCACCAGACGTTGTCCTAAACGATTTTACTCCTAACGAGCGCACGGATTTGCTCGAAAGAGCCAGACGGGCTGCTGTTGATACAAAAGAGGCTGTCATTAAGATGTTGCTTCAAATTATATCGGCTCTCCTTAAATGTAGAAGTAAGGAAGAACTCATTGACAGAGTTCTGCTTCCAATATTGAAACAACTTGCCGAAATTGGAATCACATCACTTCTACGGTACATTACCGGTGCATAGGCTTTCAATGCATGTTTAAAATACAATCTGAAGAAATATATTCCAATGAATATCCCTTCACATGCAACTTACTGTTGTCAACAAATGTGATGAGTATTTTTAAGACTGCGTCTGTGCAAAATCATTGTTAATTTTTTGTCGCAATTTTGGATCTATTTTTTTTGTTTGTATAACGTCCTATATATTATTTACACATTTCCTCTGCATCGACATAGTTTATTAGTATTTTTATGGTATGTAAACAAAAACTGCTCCAATTTATGAATTATGTTTTGTCAGCTTTATGAATCACGTTAATTGTGATTTTGCAAAGAAAAATAACTCAATTGAATATTGCACTTTCGATGACAAAATAAAGCGAAAACTGAAGTTTTTCGATAAACATGAATTTTCAATTAAATTGAAATATGAAAGTACGAAGAGAGCGTTTCATTTCGAATTTTCTTAAGTTCATGATTATTTTGAAGTATAGACACCACAGTACTATTTACAGTCACGAATATGAAATTTTAAATTTTCTTTACATTTTTCGAACGTCCTATAACGACCATTTTGATTTTCGACTTTTTTTTCATCCAATTCTCAATGTCTCATTCAAATTGACAAACAAACTTGGAGCAGCATCATTTGAAAACAACGTTTTTGTCCCTTTCTTGAGAATTTTCATCACAAAACCGCTCCAGAGGCTCGTATTATTTGATAAAGTAACTCTTAAGTTGTGGTTGTCACATCTGCCGCCGGGCCAACGTCTTTAAGTTTTTTATGGTAATTTTCATTTTTCTAAATACTCCAATCCAACCGTAAAAAAGTCCGTTTAATGTGTAGTTTCATGGTATTAATTAAAACTCACAACGATTGCCGATTGCAAATATAACAGCCCTTTGGCTGAAAGAATTGAGCCTAAAAAATAGGACTTTCACTCGTATAGATCAACTGGGATTGTATAAGAGGTATATGAAAAATATTTTAGTACTAAACTGGGTTTTCGGTTGGAGTTGGGAATCATTCTAAAGAAGTCAGAAATGATGAGAATGGACAGAAAAGTTCTCAAAAATAGGTGGACCAGATGTTGAAGTTCCTAACAAACATTTGCAACTTTTATAAACAAAGAAGTTTCATGCACACATTTTGAAACAAGTCGAAAGTCGTTATGATACACTTTTTTTAAAACACATTCCAGTGGTGGCCAATAAATTTACTAACTGTCTGATAAATATGTGGAAACAATGTGATAAATCAATGTCACATTGAACCATAAATAATTTTTAACCATTCTTCAATGTGAGTGTTTTGAAATCGATCTAAAAAACGACCCATTATTCCAAAACTTATTTGGATCACATGGTCGCTCCCGTGAATTTGGTTCCATTTCTACGGTCAAATTCATTTTTCATTCTTTTCGACACAAAATTCATATCAGAAATTTTGTGGTCAACAATTAGTTTTCGTCACTCGTCCTTCACCTCATTGAGGTTTTTTTATTTGATAATAATATACAACATACAATATTGGTACTAGAACAACGCAAACGCAGTTTAACATTTTATTCTACACTTAATAATTTAATACTTTCACTCAGTGAATGGAATATAATTCTAGATTGGGTTTTAAAAAACTATAGATTGTGAGTTTTTGTTGTTCGGATTTTGAACTCGACCGCTGAAAATGGCACATGTAGTTTCATGTGTTACGAAAAACACAAACGGGTGGTTAATGTTGATAGTGGGACGTTTCCCAGACACATGCATTCCTGTCCCTAGAAAACAGATTTTAATTTGATTTTAGTATATAGCCCACATTCAAAATTTGAAAGGTAGAATCAGCACCAGGCCTAATCATCTGATAGAGTTTCACTTCACATTGTATGATAGCGGATATTTCATGTTCCATTTTCACATCAAAATGATATGGCACATTTTAGTGAGTAAAATATAAAATATAGTTTTCATCAGTTTATCAATTCTTGGAAATATATTTTCGCCGAAGATTCTCTGGTTTACTTTTTTGTTACTTACCACCACTATCCATTTCTCTGACAAATTTTAACAGTTCATATATGCTGCAAAACATATTTTCAGTGATATGATAATACTGCTTTGCATTATTATCATAAATTTTCATACTCCGTCCAATTAACATTTGGTTCTTGCAGCCATCGTAGCTTAGTTGCCTGGTCCGTACTTTCGGTAGCTCCGTACCTAATAGTAAAAATTCACTTGACATATTTTCGTATATGTAGTCACTTTTTTCGGGTTCGGCCATCGCAATCAATATACGGCGTAGATAAATTAAACGGTTGATCGAGAATTAGCACGGCTATATCAATATCATTTAAATAAGGTTTATCGAATTGTGGATGCAACTTGTAACTTGATACATTTCTTATAACTCCATCGTCATTCGGATCGAGTGATCCTGTCCGAACTTTGATTGTTGTAGCATTAAGGTATGGGTCTTCTGGGAAAGAATGACAAGTGGTAAGAACTTTATCTGCACCAATAATTACTGCTCCAGATTCAAGAGTGTCAGTTAAAATTAATTGTGCCATGAAGGGGAAATTTGAAATGTCATTCACTACATTTCCACCATATATGTGAAGACCTAAAAAGAAAAATAAAAGAATCATCAATTTTTACGCTTGGGCTCATTGCGAAACGTGATTTGGAAATGACAAAGAGAGCAAAGAATTTAGCCGAAATGTGGTTAGAAAATAACATAACAGATAAATACTTGATAGGATTGGCTCTTCATAATAAACTTAAAAAGTGCTCAGAGGAGAGAAACAACACACTGACTTCCAAAAGTAAGAATAGCACCGCGAAAAATGCTTTAGTGACACAATGAAATAATACATAGGTCCTATGTCATAGGAAAATGTTATGTTTATCGCGATTTGTTATATTAAGTTGGTTATATTTGTTATATCAGTTAAGAGCAGAAATCAAGCAGAATTTTTGGTATGAATTTTTTTTTGGGGTTCAATTGCAGATTGCCGAGAATTTATGCATTGCCAAAAATGCACATCAGCCGAAATACCATAGCGGTCCATTGTTTTCACTTGAACTTTTAACACAGCCAATAAAAATCTTGCAACACACGCACAATAAGCACACCACGCAAGCGGCTGAATATAATACACTAAAATAGAATATTGGATGAACGGAAATGCTCTTTATTTTTGTTTGCATTTTTTTTTCTTGAACGTGTATTTGTTGTCGCAATGCCGTCAAAATTATTAGAAAGTGATAAATTTTATTTCTAAGAGCAACAATTGCTATGCTTCCAAACACATGCTGCAGTTTTCAATAAAAAAGGTTTAAAATAAATATAGTGAATCATACTTTAGTCTATTGAAAAGCGGAAATGCTCTTTCAAGCTGATTATATTTCATATAATTCAATGTGGTAATCTGATTTTATTCCGTAGTTCGAAATCTATTCAAGTGTGGTTTCTGATGCAGAACGAACATTCTATTCATTCTATTGTAATAACATTATAGTCACTGGATCTTGCCTACGTCGCAAATCACAAAACGTGCATAGTATCAATTTCTAGTTGGAAATGATAGATTCTAGACTTCTTCTGAATTCATCAAATGACTGCTTGTTTGCTGGAACCAATTTCATGTGATCGATGAGACTGAAATTTTTCTGTATTTCAGTTTCAGTTTATCTATTTGATTTGCAAATGTCTCCATATCTTTTGGAAGTAATACAATGTGCACCTAGACAGCCGAAAAAACGCAACAATCAAATAAATAAATGTCAGACTTTTTGTTCACAAAATCATTTTATTGAGCAATTAAATGAATGTCACAATGAGTCTTAATTACGTTTAATTTAATTTAAATTTGTATATTCAAGCAAACACAAATATGGCCCAGTCATAAAACTGAATCTAATACTATATCAGTGGAGCAAATGGTTTATATAACGCTAACTTATTAACAAATACGGCAACATTTCTATTATCACAATACATGTTTATGAAAATACCTTCGAAATGCCCATCAAATTATAATATCAAATAATTTAGGATACTTCAATGCTTCCTTTTCTTCGATGATCGTAAACAGGAACAAGTTTTTTGCCTTCACGAGCGATGGCCGTTAGAGAGGCAAACCCGCTGTCCGGAGGAATTTCATACATTACATGGCCAATGTCACGTAATCCTTTAACAATATCGTCTGGAATCCCCTGTTCATACTCCAATTGCATTGGAGCTATTTATAAAAAGAATAAATAATAATATGCATGAAATGTAGATTTTTCAATTATTTTCCATACCTAACTGATGGTGAATTCGCGGAGCGGTAACCGCATCTGTAATCGATTCATTGAAGTACAAGTATCGTAACAACACCTGAAATGATCACACATATTAAAAGATATCTATGGAGAATTGAAAGTCAATAGCTTACATATGCAACAGAGGAAGTTATTTTCGAGCCTCCTGCAGCTCCAATCAGCATTTGAACATTTCGATGCTCATCAATCAAAATCGTAGGAGACATCGAAGATAATGGCATCTTTTGTGGCGTGATAAAGTTTGCTGGCGATGGTGGAATGCCGTACGCATTATCCTTACCAGGCACTGCAAAATCATCCATGCCATCATTTAAAATTATTCCAGTTTTTGAAATAATTTTGCATCCAAATCTGTCGTTCCATTCATAAAACAACAAATAAATAGACATAACATTAGATTCAATGCGGAAAGAGGGATTAGATTCACATTCAAAAGAAGAACAAATCTTACAATGTATTAATGGTGCCGGTAGCTGATATTGCGTCCCCATTTGGAGCCAAAATATTGATGTGTGCTGTCCCATGATCGGTTTCCGACGAAAAATTCGCTCCATAATGCGCATAGTCTTGATATGTCTTATTATCTTCGATCTTTTTTCGAATTTCCGTTGCAAAATCGATACTTGTTAAGTTTTGCACCACTTTTAGTGCATTTTCATAAAACCGACCGTCGCCCAATTTGGTTCGCTCGGCGTATGCAAATTTAAACACCTCGGCGATTCGTTGCATCGATACCACCGACTCTTGTCTTGGCAAGTAATCATTCAAGACGTTCATGATGAATGCAACCATTGCTCCACTTCCTGGCAATGGCAAAGTATGAAGTGTTTTATTGCCCATTACTTTCACCGAAATTGGGGTCTCCCACCGCACTTTGTATTGCATCAGATCTTCAATTGTCATAATGCCGCCAGCATCCTGAATATCCTCAATTATTGCTCTTCCAATGGATCCATTGTTATAGATCGCACCGACGCCTTCGTTCTTGATAATTTCTAATGTGTCAGCCAATTTATTTCTCGTGATGTAATCACCTTCTTTGTACACATCGTTTGTGGTGGGATCGATATAGACTTCAGCAAGTGTGGGCGAGTCTTCAACCTTTTTCTTATTCTTTTTCAAAATATTAGCTAAATATGGACTCACCATATGGCCCTTGCGACACAACTCGATGGTTGGATCGAATAAGTCAGACCAGTTTAGCTTGCCATACTTTTGATGTAACTCATAGTATCCCATTAATTCGCCAGGCACAGCAACCGCTTTTCCCCCGGTGACTGTTGTATTCACGAACATCTCCTCTGTGGCTGCCAAGGGAGCCACATCACGGGCAATTAATGTTTCCACTTTATTCGCCTCTTTTATGTAAATTGTCATCACAAAACCACCGCCGAGACCTGTACTCTGTGGGCAGGTGACTCCCTCGCAAAGTAAGGCTGCAATTGCAGCATCCGCCACCGAACCACCCTTTTTCAATATTTTACTGCATGTTTTAAATAGACATTGGAAAATGATATGATTGGGATTTAATTGAATATAGTATTGAATCGAAAAAATATGAATATCATTCAAAGAGAACACCTACCCAGCAATGGCCGAACACTCCAATCCATTCGTAACCACAGCCGTTTGATGAGTGACTTCATCATCTTCCCATTTTAAATAGAATATCACAGCGGTTAATAGTGCACCAGCTACGGCAGCGCTCACAACAGCCAAAAGCAATTTTTTTCGAATCGACAAACTAAGCGGAAATAAATAAAACAAAAACACACAAAATAAGATAAAACCATTCCAACTATTCTTAGAAAAATGTAAGGCATTTTGAAAAAAAAACAACGAAATTAGCCAAGTTGAGCTATATGAACAATAAATAATTGAGATAATTGAAAGTGAGAAACAAAAAATATGATAAGTGATATGTAGAACCCCCATGGGTTTTCATCCGAATTTGACATGCATATTCATAACAAGACAATGCACCGTTTTTTCAATCATGCGATTTTTTTAAAATATCAAACAATTTTCGATCGGAAATTCATTGTAAATTCCTATCCGAATAGGAAGTCAATTCAACTGAATTGTTGACTTCTGAAATGACGAAAAATTGAATAAATTATTCTTGTTTTATAGGTGGTTTATTACCCATCACCACGATGAATGTAAATCTCATTTGTACGATCTAGCGGTCTATTGCGGTCTAAATTATTGTCAGAAAGTTTTAAATGAAATAAATTGCAGCTATTTTCTACCGACATGTTTTCCGATCGAAATATCGAAAACGAATTGAAGCCGTTCGAAAAACCGTTAAAATGCGTGGCAACTGACCTCACAATATTCTGCTTTTATAAAGTGCATTTACCATTTGCCGCACTGTTTTCACTCAGTCAATCATAACGATTTAATTCCAGTCTCCAATTAAATGCAATTGTATATTTAGCGGGAGAGTCACGATTACCGTGCAAAAAAAAATACACAATAATTTTGAGATTCCACCGTGATTTTCTAAACATAGGGTAAGGTGGGGCGAAGTCGCGCACTTTTTTCCCTAAATAAATAACTCCGTAAAAAATTGAAAAAAATCATGAAATATTAGTTGCATATTCTAGTTCGATTCAATACTCAACTTTTATAGAAGAACACTTTTTGATTTGACCTCTTTTTGGGTGCGATATTGCCCTTCGGGCGGAGAGCCATGTTTTTGGCCATGCAAAAAATGGTGGGGTGAAGTGGCGCACCCCATGGGGCGAAGTCGCGCACCTGTATTTTCAATGTTTTAAATGTGTTTATCATCCGAAATAGTGTTAGTGTTAGATTAGTACATCCTTCGCCAATGTTGTGTCAAAATTTCATGAAATTTGGACCGCTAGAAGCGAAGTTATTACGCCTAAAGTGACACTACCTTTTCATCGGTCGACAGGCAAAATTCGAAAAAATGACTTTGCGCCGATTTTTATTTTTCTAAGAAGTAGTCCACGCATTGTCAAACCCGTGGTACCGTTGGAGAGGTAATTGATGGTGCTACAAAAATAGTTAGTCAACCACCCCTTCCGACCCCATTGAGGTCCCCAAAATGCCTAAAGTGACACTACCTATTTTCATCGGTCGACAGGCGAATTTTGGCCCAAAATTCGAAAAAATGACTTTGCGCCGATTTTTATTTATCTTAGAAGTAGTCCACGCATTGTCAAACCCGTGGTACCGTTGGAAAGGTAATTGATGGTGCTACAAAAATACTCAGTCAACCACCCCTTTCACACGCGAATAAGCGATAAATAGCAATACATAAGGTGCGCCACTTCGCCCCATATGTTTGTGCGCGACTTCGCCCCACCACCTATCTTTCAGTCCGGAGCTCGATTCAACCACAAATATTAAAAATATTCAAAATAAACTTATTTCCATTTGAAAGAGCTCGTCTTAAGCTGCAAAATACACTCACCAGTTTTCAAAAAATATTAAATTATAATGGTCAAAACTTAAATGCCGTAGACACAAAAATGTTTTCAAATACTAGCACAAAACACGTGTATGCCTGTAGATTGTCTGTACTCGAATGAAAAATGTCAAGTATACCAACCAAATATGGAGTTTTTAATGCTCTTTCAAATGACATATGGGTTGCCACAGCTAGGAATTGCCAGTTTCGAGAAAAGGCCGGTGCGCGACTTCGCCCCACGCGCTACTTCGGCCCACCTTACCCTACGGTGCTTCGAAACACGCGACACCGATTTTTGTTTGCACTTCGAATTGCGTCACATTTTGAAAAAAACCTACAGCTAACAATTAACAATTAAAAAGCACTTTTGGTTATCTATGGGTGTTTGTTTTCTGAAAACGATGCGGAAAAAATATTTCCAAAACAGACGCTTGTAAAATGAACGTTTAATTAGCTTCGTATACTTCAGAAATGGTGATTATCAGCAAATATTTGAACAGAGCGACGCGAACTTCCTTCGATTGATTTCAAAAATTAATGGCATATTTTGAAGCGTTTTTTGTTCGCGTGCAATCATTTTGCGAAATTTCGAAATCTTTCTTATCAAGAGTTTGAACGAGACATACTGCATGGATGGTAATAAAAATCACCCATTGTGCCACTGATAGACATTAAACGCCGTTAGCATTTGATATAACAAATTAAATTGAGCCATAAATTTAAGCGAAAAACCCAAGTTGACTGACCCTCACATTTTTTCTCTCATTCGAAAATCATTCCTCAAACCTTTATATGTATTACAAAAAATGTGGACCGTTTTTCTGACACAAATGATGTGTTAAACAGAAATGTCATCAATTTTTTGCGAAGTCAAATATTTTGTAAAAAAAAATCTGATTGCGAAGTTCATTGCGGAAAATGTTATATTATACGAATGAGTTCAGTTTTTGCAGAAAAATTGTATAAAAAATGTATTAAAAACGTTCTTTGTGAACAGTGACTACGAGTGAAATTGACTATTATAATATTTCAGATAAAGGATTAGAAACAATTGTAAAATAAAGATTTTTCTTCACAAGAGTCGTGGTTTTTAATGAGAATGATTAGAAATAAACGTGATTCGTTATGCTCTTCTTTCCACTGAAAAATTGAAATACTCTAATAAATTGGAATTTCCTTCCAAATTGGAATACACTTGCAAATCTATTGTGTGAATAAAATTGATTAAATTTCCATTAAAACATGGTTTGTGATTCAGAACGTTCTTTTGCCATATTTGGACACTGTTCTACTAACTATATTGCAAATTGCAAGCAAAACTCACACCATAACGCCAATTATGCGATACGAATGTATCTACTGAATGGTATTTTACAAATTAATTAGCACCGGCCGTCTGTTACTACTCTTGCTAATTGCTGTTTGGAAGAAAAAAGTCATTCGATCCGACCACGAGTTAATCGAATACTAAACCGAAATTCAATTCACTATCAAAATTACGGGACTATCACATGAAATGCCATGAGTGTTAACGGTTCCATTGTCACAAATGTATGCAAATTTCCCATTGATTGTTTGCTTTTTTTCATCGTCACTCTCTTCAGCATTCGGTTCCATTGCGAACGGTGTGTATTTCGTTTCAACAATACGACACGTGATTGCCAAATGACAGCTATTAACTGGTATTATGAGCAAATTATTGAAAATGGTTAAAAGTGGCACGAATATTTATGGTTGATGGTTGTGAGAAAGCGATTTGAGCCAATATTCGTCGAAATGATGGAGTATTCAACATAAGACAGATTTGCACTTTCTTCTTCACGCAACAAACGAATAATTGAGTCCACTTGATACTAACGCAAATACTTTCATCTTCAAACGTCTCACAACGCCAAAATCTCTGGAAAATAACTGAAGTACTTCTGTTCTCGAAATCAAATCACAAACAACTAAATCTAATATCGTTCCTGTGGTTGATAAACTATTATTTGATTCTATTTCATTCGCATACGTTAACTCGTGACCTTAACGTTCAATCGACAGCGATGCAAATGTTACTGGGTCCGGTTTACGACTGAATGCTGACTGCCGTTTTGATCGCACATCGTGATTGAATAATAATACACTCGAAACTACGTTTTACTTGTTTATGAACGATTGTTATACAAATCATTTCGGATACAATGCATAAGGTGATTGAAATAGAAACTTTAATAAATTAATAAGGGGATAAGTCTGTTTTCGCTTGTGACGCGATTTATAAATAGCCCACAAATTCAACCGCAATAAAAACTTTGAATATCATTTTCAAACATTCACTTTGCTAAGTCATTCATAACAAGTAGTAATCGGTGTCACCGACTAAAGTAGCAGTTGTTTTATTTTATTGAGGCAATTGACATTCGTGTTTTGTCTTGTTTACGCACTTCATTGTACGCATAACTGTTACTTTCTTCTTCAAACAGACACCATTTTTCTTCTTGTTGTTGAAATCAAAACAGAATTGTAGATTAATCACAAATTCAATTTTATTTTTACTTATTTTTTACTTTCAGCAAATTTGAAATTTCCACATATCATTTCGTTCGAATGTTCTTTCGTGATTTGAATGGATTATCAAATAATTACATTGTACACACGATATAATTATCGTTCTAAAATAATTAGTTTATGATTTTATAGAAACAGATTACCATTCGTCGTGAAGGACATTGTAATTTTCATTCGCACTTTTTTTTGATAAATTTTGGGATTTACAATGAAATTGGGATACAAGTAAAGCCATTTATTATTTTATTTATTTATTACGAAGCCTACATTTATTCCAATATGTGTTCACAGCGAGCTGAGAACATGCTGGTCATGGACCCAATACGGCATAAATTCCGCCCATGGTACGTCTTTTGCAAAGAGATTACAGCCAGGGGACGGATGATATAAAAGTGAAGCTTCCATATCAGAATTGGGTCCGGAAAGCCATGGCAAAACCGGCCTGATTCTGGAGAACCAGGGGAAATACAATGATGATGAGTTTTTACAATTGAAGTACGTTAACATCAATGGAAAAAATCAAATGAAAAATTACAAACTAAAATCTAGATTGGATAAGAAATTTCGATTTGAAAAATTTGAAAAATGTCAGAAAATTTACTGCGTAGAACGTAACAGATGCCTTTAGATTATTTTTAAACGCAACTAGATATTTAGAATTTCTAATTTCGATCGGTATACTATTCCAAAAGTTAATTGCAGAGAAACTAAATGCGCGAGTTTCAAATGCGAAGATTATCTGGATAACGCGACGATTCACCATTACGAATAAACATGTGATTCAGATACTCAGGCGAATAATTCGACAACTGCTTGAATATCAAGACTACTGAGTGCAGTTTTGTCTGCTCTCAGGAGTCAATCCACTCAAACGCTTACGATATTCGGTAACATGATCATTACGTTTTAATCCGTAAATGTATCGAATCTTGTCGTTATCAGCAACAAGATCACGGTGAACCTGGTTTTGAGTGCTGTGGGAGCCCCAGCCGTATGTTACCACGCATCCATAATCCATTATGGGATCTATCAGAGCTACAGCCATATCACGTTTGACGTAATTGGGTATAAAGCGCTTAGTGTGACGGATTCGATTCAACACACCATACACTGCCATTTTTATTTGATACAATAAAATAAATAGAAGCAAACTCATTGCAAGCACCGATATGATGCCGTGTACGTTAATTTCTAGCTTTGAAAGCCATTTAAAAAAAAGAAAAACAGAAAAATACTTTCGAAAGCTGTTTTTGCTCTTTTATTGAAAAATTCAAGGTTTTAACTGAAACTGTAATTGAATGCAAAATTTCTAAATTTTAATGTGTGATGAAAGAATATTTTTGAAAAATGCCATGAAAATATTCTACTGCTTGTAAATTATGAGTGGATGATCTATCAGTTAAGTTACAAAATACTTACATTACTTTGGCCATTTTTCCCCGTTTCTCTTTGCAATCTTTTCAAAAAGAAAACTTTATAAGAAAAAAAAAATTCTCAATGCGATATTCTGAATGATGCCTGAAGACAGTCCAATGTGGACGATGTTGAAGAACAGATGAAGCAATGATGATAATTCCACTGCATTTAACGCATTTTACTCTTTGTACAACAGAGATACGTTATCTTTATTGAATCGATAATCTTTAAAGAAATAGTAGACGAAGTGCATCCCTTCAAAGACAATGAAGACCTTTTATCTCTAATTAGCCTATAAATTATGATTGAAGCCTTTTTCGTATCAACAAACTAGCAATCACAAGCATTTCATTTAAGTATATCTCTTAAGTGACTATGCCATATAATTTATGAATGCCTGAGTCAACAAAATATTGTATATGTATTTCGAACTGTTAAAATCTGTGTTCATTGATAAAAACAAATTAAATTAAAACCCAATTACAAAGAAGCTATTTGTCAAATCACTTGAGAATGGGAATACACGCGCTCATAAGGGAGTTACGCATTTTGACGCATTGCAATAAACAGGTGTTATCAGCTTTTAATGGAAATGAAGTGTTCAATCAGACGTGCGCGCTGGGGGGGAAATTGAAACATTTTTTGTGTTAGTCGAATTGCTTACAAAAACTTGTTGTTTTGTTGTCCGTTTATCATCACTTTTCTGTATGATATATCGGAAAAAGGGAGATGCGGGATGAATCGATTGAATCAAAGAACAAAATGACCTCAGAAAGGTTCACTTTTTCAATACTAAAATCGCTCCCCCTCAGAAAAAAACTCAATTTACCCCCCTCCTAGGATTTGAAACCGTACGCACGTCTGTGTTCAATGCACAAATTGCATCGTACTTTTCGCGAAACCATACTTACCTTGGCCTTTTTTTTGAAAAAAAAGGAGTCATAATTCAATAAAAATGCATTTCGTCATGTTCTGCTGTGAAGTTTTTATTCATTTATTTTTTTTGCTCTTTTTATTATTAGAAGTAAGCCCTGCGATCGTTCGTCTGCATATGTTTATTGCATCGCGTCATATGTGGAACATCTCAAAAAGATATGTGTGTCTAGCATAGTTGAATATTTGTGTCATTCGCATGGCATGCATGCTTGTGTATCGCATAGTAAAACAAGGAATGCAATGGATTTCACTTTTTATTGATTTCAAAACGCAGGTAAGAAACACCGGGAAAAAGGGACTAAAGTGTGATGAAGGGAGCGAACAAAACAAAAAATTGAATACAATGGAAAAGGTTCGGCTGGTTTTGGTTTAGTGTGCATTCAATGCAACGAATTACAAGTGCATCATCACCTGCACCATGCATTTTGTTTTAAAGTCCAATAGGCGTTCGGTTCGATGTGCAGTGTATAACAAAGCAATCGACACAATGTTTCCGACATAGTTCGAAGATGGAATTTTTCGAATCGTCCCCTAAAGTAGAAACAAAAATTATATATATACGAACGGCAAGCTGCATTTTGTAAGTATGGGATTGAATTTCGACCTGACTCGGTGCATTTTTTTCGAGTGTCTTATGATGCCGATTACCGATGCCTACGAGACAACGCATACGATCGCAATCGCACCCGAATGCACTTGTATTGGTTTCGACGAAGCGATGCCAATGTATGTGTGCGATAAACATGTGTTGGAATGTGCTTCGCTGTCAAACAACATGCGGGCCAAATATCGAAGCACCGACACGAAAGCGGACGAGAGAAAGAGAGAGAGAGAGATGAAAAAAAATACGTAACGACCGAACGCCAGAAAAATTGAACCGCAACTTTTTATTTTTAAACTTGGATAAAACACCAATACAAACGCATGGACGGAACTGGGCATATGTGTGTGAGAGAATGGGAGAGAGCAGGCGAACAAGAGACTCGGCTGTACGAAGCCAGTGAGTATGGATAACGAGTGACCGGTATAAAGGCTCGTTTCCAATCGAATGAATTGTAAAAATCGTAATTCAGTTTTAAATTCGTCTCTCTTTTTTTCCGCCGTTCGTTCGTTCGCTCTCTTTTGTCGCCGTCGCGTTCGTATTGAAATCGGTTTCAAGTTTGCATAAACCGAATGTGTCGTCGACATTGTGGAGCATTCAGTTGAAAGCAATTATTGGCGCTCTCAATGCATTTGTGTTGGTAGCACACACAATTCTACTTTTTTTTTTCTTCTCTCGGTTTGTTTGAATGTGTTTGAAGATGGATGGAATGGAACTATAACAAATGGAATGAGAACAGCAGAAGTAAAATATATACTATGTACAGCAGAGGGAAAAAAAGAAGAACATGTAAAAAGCCAATGCAAATTTTTATTGATTGATACGACGAGCGAAATGGGAAAAAAATGGAACATGCGGAGCGGGAAGGAGGCCGAACCAAATTATATATGCAAGTGATGGTGTAATGGTAAAAATGAGTCGTTGGCTTGGCGAGCGAGCGAGAGAGAATTTTTTTCCTCGTAATAGTATTTGTGTCATTCTCAATTTTTGCCTTATATAAAAAAAAATGTATTTTTTTTCCCTATAACAATACCAAATCAGCTCTCGATGTTCTCTTTCTCACTCGCTCGCTCGCTCTCTCTCTCTCTCTCAACCTTTTGTTGCTGCATTGGACTATTTGAACTGAGAACCGCATTTTAATTACACAGCGCAAAAAAAACAGCGTACAAAATAAAAATTATGTAAAATACAGAGACAGCGAAAAAAAAGAGAATGAGAACCGTAGCAACGAACGATGATGGTGACGACGACAAAGACATAGACGATTAAGCGATTTGTATGTGTGCATTGAATGCCCAGGGTAAAATAATTAATTCGCAGAGACGCGCAAGTTTTTTTTATTCGTTCATGCATCATTTTGGCGTTGAGTGTTCGGTTCGTTGTTTTTTTTTTCTCTGCGCTTCGCTAATGTATTTTATGGCATTCTTTTTTATTTCGTCGGTCGGTCGGTTGGTTGCTCGTGTGAAGTGGTATGAGCAGCAATATTTGAGATTGTGTTGGTGAACGAAAAAAAAGAAGAAATATTTCGTTTCGATGAGACAAAGCCAAACTCACCACACACCAGC